TTTTTTTTTTTTTTCATTAAAATTGACCGTGTGTATTTTTATTCATTTAAGATTGAAAAAATAATACTCTTGTAATTGTTTAAAATATCAAAAAAAAAAAAAAAGAAAAAAAGAAATAAATAAATAAAAAATTAAATCTCCAGACAATTGACAATGTGTGTTAATGTGCGTGTTTCGTATTAAAAAAGTCTTTGATAATAAATTCACGCGTATTTTGTATAACAAAAATTTATCTTAATGTAATATCACGAAAAAATATATCAAAGACAATTTTTTGTTTAAAGATAACAAAAAAAAGTTTGTTTTAACATTAATAAATATGACAAATTATGAAAATAGTGTCCATCGACAGTAATCAGATGAAGGATTGTAAGAATTGAGAGGAATAGGAGCTGGTAACGTGATCACACAATTGAATTAATCATCTTGAATACCAATGATAGAGAAAAAAAAAAAAGAAAAAAAAAAACAAACAAACTTTCGATAGAATTCATCCACACATCGTTAAAAATTCTTCGATCGAGTGATGTGTTCGTGTTGAATTTTCCCCCATTACGTAGGAACAATAGAATTGAAGGTTTTATTCATCGATACGTTCCTTTTTCCTCTTGGTATCTGTCAAATTCAGATAAATTTATAATAATATCATTATCTGTTATCTGCTTGTTGAATACACAAATTTGTAATCGTTAATAAATTTACAGATTGGTCAATAAAGTTTATATCACAAAATTTTTGTATATTTTTTATTATATGGTCAAATAAATAAAAATTGTTTTAAAAGATTTTATTGACACAAATTGTTAATATTTTATATTCAAGTATAATAGTAGTTTTGTTTAATTAAATAAAGAATCATTTAATATGCAAATATTTATAAAATTATATTTAAAAATTATATATATATATATATAGTTTTATTATTAAGTTATAATTTTATTGAATAATTAATTTACTTTTTCTTTTTAATATATTTTACGATTGTAATAAAATATTGTTATTTTTTTTTTGTACAGCAAAATTGTTAATATTTTATATACAATTATAGAATAATTAACTATGCAAATATTTATAAAATTATATCTACTAAAATATATATTTTCAATATTTTATTATTAAGTTGTAATTAAATATTAACCTTTGCTTATCACCCTTCATGGGGTAACACGCTTACCACACCCAAAAATTCTTATAAAAAAGAAACCATTGCATAGATTTACTTCAACCTTTTTTTGTACACTTCTTTAATACTTACTTAATAAGACTATACAGGTTTTATAACTTTAAATTAAATTTAAATATGTTTAAAAAATGATCAAATTTGAACAATTGAGAAAAATGACGACTCAAGTTGCAAAAAAGGTCGTCTGGGTCTTTTGGATCACGTGTGGGTAAGCAAAGGTTAAAAATCTTTACTATTTTCTTTTTAAAATACAATATTTAATATTTAAATGAAAACAACATTAATATTTTGTCCTGTAAAAAATTGCAACATTAAATTATTGACCAATCCGAATAATAATTCATATAATATTATACTATATGAAATAATATACATAAATACGATAACACATTACCTCTGTATAATATGACATATGTAGTTTAAACCAAACTTCGTAATAATATGTTTGATTCCTGGTCGATTATTCATAAAACAACCAAGAATATCAAACATATCTCACGAAAATTGGCATTGAATTTTGTCAACAATCGAATCATCATTAGTTCCATCCTATCATGAAATATAATACATTGATAAAATAAAATAATCAAATATTATCCTACAGGATTATATGTTTATCTCATATCTTGAAAATCTATTTTAACTTAAAATAAAAATTAATAAACATATTTAAATTGTTTCACATTTAAATTAAACAAAAAAAAAAAATAAAACAAAAATCCTCGTTCAAAATATTCTCTTCTGACGCGTATCACAAAAACAACATTTGTATTTTTTAATAAATTATAATAAAACATAATAAAATTATTATAAATAATATCAGTAAAAATAGTCTCTTGTCATTTTAAACATTGTAAAATTAAAAATATAATAAATAATTAACAATTAACTAAATTTAAATAAAATAAGAGCAACACACATATTTATTAATTTATTTATTAATATAAATAATATAAATAATACTCACTCAAATGGAAAACTATGCAACGTTTCGCATAATCAATGTAAAATTAGAACAGCAATCACAATCCTTTCCTCTTGTTCCTTATTATTATTGTCATTTCTTCTTCTTCTTCTTATTCAAGGTAGTTTCCAAAAATAAAAAGAAAACAGGAAAATAAAAATAATCATAATTAAAATTAAACAGGCTGTTTTTCGCAAAGTGAATCATCTCGTGACCAGGCTGGTGATGGTCGAAAGTAAGGCACGTTGCGATTTCGAACAAGGACGGACGGATGACACTTTTCATTGGTGCACCTAATCTTTAACAAAAACATTTGATTTATATTAATAATAATATTAACAAATAATATCGTTCTAATAAATAAAGCTATTTTTAATTGTTAATAATTGTTTCTCTCTCTCTCTCTCTCAAACTTCAATATTATTGTTCGTGATTTAATTGAAATTAATATAATTAAGTATAAAATAATAATTGAATTAAAGTAACGTTAAATAATTGCAATATAATATGTTGAACCTAAATTAAATATCACATTCATTAATTTATTAATAATTAAATTCAATAC